TTATCTAGGTGGAAGGTTATATAACTCATGCCCATTTTCAGTGGTCCTAAACATACAAAGTATGAAAAGAAACTGAAGCCACACACATGCCAGCCCTGAATGGCAAATTGAACTTATGTTATTAATAAAGTAATTTCATACAAATATAGTCATGTGCCACACAATGACATTTCAGTGAACAGAGTGCATATACAATGTTGATTCCTAGGATGATATCACCTAGTGACACTGTAGCTATCTTAGTTTATGTATATATACTCTATATGTTCATACAATGCTGAAATGCCTAACAAACATGTATTCCATCATTAAGCAACTCAAAACTGTAATCAATTCCATAAAAAGTAACTGTATTCAGTCAACAGGTATGTATTTTATTAAACAACCATGTGCTTAATAATGAAACCACAGCAATARAGAGAAATGGCCTTAGTATTAAAAGAGCATATCTAGGGGGCAGAGTTGTGGCTCAGTATGAGTACTTGCCTAGCATGCATGAGGCACTGGGTTGGATCCCTGGCACCACATAAAAATAGAAAGAAATAAAATAAAGGTTTTGTGTCCATCTATTAAAAAAAAAAGATGAAGAAGAAGAACATATCTAGTCAGAAAAAAATATATTATAAAACATTAAGTACTATGAAAGAGGAAATAAATAACACAATAGAATATACAGGAAAGAGGTAATGTCAACTAGATAATGGAACAGGAAGCCCCAGATTCTCTGACCCTTTATGGAGATATCAATTCAATAAAAATTAAAAATAAGAAAAAAAAACCTTTGTAAGAAATCCAGAAATCAATTAAGAGATGATTATACTCTGGGTAAAAAAGAAACCAGACACAGAGAAGCCTTCAGGAAAGTCTATAGCATAATCTTTCCCTGGGACTCATTGAGAAAACTCCCAGTTCTCAAGTTTTCTCCCTGGAAAAGTAAGAGAAGACTGAAACCTATCTACCGTAGTCAGGCTTTTTCACAGGCTGCCTAAAGGACTGGTTTCTGTCATGCCTGAATCTAAGCACTGACAGGAAAGGGTACCAGGTTGAAAGCCATTAACAACAAAGATGATGGAYTAGATTAACACATGTTCACTTAACAGTTCCTACACACCACTCCTGGGGATGAAAAGAATTGAGGCCTGTGTCCAACATTCCAGATTTTCGGGATGCTACTCAAGGCACTGATTTCTATCTCATCTGTTTTGGTGGGCTGACAGAACCCAACACACTCTACATACCTGGAAGCTACTGAGAACAAAGGACAGCCAGACAGCTTGGTGCTGTTTCAGAGGGCTTGCAGTACAGCCTACAGGGGCTAATACAACTAATACAACTAATCACTCTTTTGGGAAGAGTGCAGTGTACATCCAACAGTCCACCTTTGAGGGACACCACCCAAGGTTCTAGTTTGTCAGCTACTCAATTCAGAGCACTGATGAGACCCACAGTACTCTAAAAGGCTGCAAACCACTAAGAAGAAAAGATGTGCACCTTGCAGCTCTTCCAAAGAACTTGTAATTCTATAGAAAGACACCAGAGTAAGAGATTGCATACTCCTAAAAAAAGAAATCAGCAAATCCCTCTACAAACTTACAGATGTAAATCCAAAGGCGCATTCACAGAAAAGGTATGAATCTAATCCCTGTATGAATCTAAGTCCATAAAGACTGAAAAGAGGCAGCTATTGGGGAAGGGAGTGAGGGTGATCCCAACAGTTAAAAGATACACAAAGAAACAGGGAAACAAGGAAAAAACAATGATGTAAATTAAATCTCCATAAACCAATGCCAACAAATGGAAGGATATAAATTACCTGAAAAATAATAGGTGCTAAATGAGCTCATGGAAACAATGTATGAGGAAAATGAGAATATCAACAATGAGAAATTGTTAAAAACAATTATGGTGGCACATACCTGTAATCCCATCAGCTCAGGAAGCTGAGGTAGGAGGATCACAAGTTCAAAGCCAACCTCAGCAAAAGCGAGGTGCTAAGCAATTCAGTGAGACCCTGTCTTTAAATAAAATACAAAATAGGGCTAGGGGTGTGGCTCTATGGTCATGTGCCCCCTGAGTTTAATCCCTAGTTCAATCCCCCCCCAAAAAAAATTATTATGCAGGTGAAGAACACAGTAACAGAATTGAAAAATTCACTGGAGGATTCAACATCAGACTTGATAAAGCAAAAGAAAAAAAATTAACAAACTTGAAAACAGATCTCCTGAAATTACAAAATTATCCAGAGAAGGAAAAAAAGATGAAAAAGATTGAAGCAAGCCTAAGAGACCTGGTCCACATCACCAAGTGAACCACTTTGCTCATTATGGGACTCACAAAAAGAGAAAAGTCAAAGGGCTTGAAAGTTTATTTTCAGAAATAACAGACCAAAACCTCCCAATCTGAGGAATGAACTGGACATCCAGATCCAAGAAACCAAAAGGACTTCACTAGGACAAAGACAAAGAAGTCCAAGCAAAGACACATTTTAATTATATTGTCAGAAGTCAGAAACCTTGTATATCAGAAGGGAGTGGGAATGTATATCCCACTGAGAGACACAGCTGAGTAAGACGGGCCGGAGGGGAGGGGGGTAAGTAACAAAAGTCATTAAGACAGAAAAAAACAAAATGGCAATAGTAAGGAAATTAAAATATTTGCAAACCCAGAAAACTCTTATCAGGCAAATGAACTTTCAAAAATGWAACAGAGGGGCTGGGGTTGTGACTCAGTGGTAGAGCATTTGCCTGGCACATGTGAGGCACTGGGTTTGATCCTCAGCACCACATAAAAAATAAATAAATAAGGGCTGGGGTTCAGCAGTAGAGCACTTGCCTAGCATTTGTAGGGTCCTGGGTTCGATCCTCAGCACCACATAAAAATAACTAACTAAATAAATAAAGGTATTGTGCCCAACTACAACTAAAAAATAAATATTTAAAATAAATAAATAAGTAGATAAATAGATAAGATAAAGGTACTATGTCTGTCTGCAGCTAAAAAAAATTTTAAAAGAAAAAGTAGTAAAAGCTTTCCCTGATAACCAAAAGCTGAAAGGAGTTTAGCACCTTCATTATAAATGGTAAGGTGAATTCTTTAAGTTGAAACAAAAGCATACTAGGCAGCAACAAGAAAGTATATGAAGATATAAAGTTCACTGGTAAAACTAAATGTATAGACAAATGCAGACTTCTATATTATGGTTTTAAGTCATTGTTAACCTGCTATATAACTTAAAAGACAGTGCAAAAAAAAAAAACAGCAAAATAATGGATGCCCAATATAAAATGATGTATCATTTATGACAATAACATAAAATATCCAGAGTGGGGAGAAATAAAACAGAAGAGAATGTATATGATTAAAATTTGTATATTATTAAAGATTTTTTTTAATGACATAAAGAGTAGTTTAGTGGATTTTAAAAAAAGATTCAAGTGTATGCTATTACAAAAGACTGAATTTAGATTTATGGATACACAAAGGGTAGAAAAATATCCCATTCCAATAATAATGAAAAGTAGGAGTGGCCATATTTACATAAACAAAACCAACTAAGTCAAAACTTGTCACAAAAGACAACTAAGGATATTTTATGATAATTAAAGGGTCAATTAAAGTTACAAATATATAGCATCAGAGTACCCAAATATATGAAGCAAACATAAAACTGATGGCAGAAACAGAAATCAACATAATTAGAGTAAAGGATTTCAATATTTTACCTTCAATAATGAGAACATCCAGCAAGAAGATCATAAGAAAACAAATGAACAATGCTATAGACCCATTCAGTTAACAGAAAAAAAAGTCAATTATGACAGTTCAGTGAGTAAGAGAGAAAGAGTGGTAAAGGTAAAACTGGAAATATAGGCAGGGGCCTAATTAAGCAGGAACTTACAGTCATGTTAAAATTTTATCCTAAAAAACAATGAAAAGTTTTTGAACAGTTTTAAGTGAGAGAATAATATAGTCTGATTATTGTTTAGTGTTTCAACAGTTTTGTTTCTCAATGCCAATTAGTGAAATTGTATTACAAAATGATTTCCCACAAAATGAACAAAGGCAAAATTTCAAATTTATCTAGATTTAAGGCAAAACTACATTAAAATAGAAATGAATACAATTTCTCAGTCTATAACAAAATTGGATCAAATAAGCTGAACCAAATACGACTTCAATATGGTTAAGCTAGAGAACTTAGTTACTTAAAATAAGTTAAAGTCTATCCAAAAATGGCAAGCACATATTTTGAGTTTCCTTTAATAGGATTTTTCAACTGGCAGAGAGAGAAAATTTAAAAAAGAAAAAGATGAAAACGCACCTCACATCTGATTTTCATGCTTTGAATACATCAGGTAGTGTCAATGTGAGAGTATTAAGTAGAACCTTTAAGAAGTAATTAGGCAATGAGGGTTCTGTCCTTTAGAGATGCTTATTAAAGGGCTTGACAAAGAAAACTCATTCCTTTGCCTTTCCGCTTTATGCCATGTGAGAACCCAGCAGTCCTCCCTCCAGAGGTACCATTTTGGAAACCGAAAGCAGCTATCACCAGACACTCAACCTACCAGTGCCTTGATCTTTGATTTCCCAATCCTCAGAAATAGGAGAAAATAAWTTTTTTTTCTTCACAAATTATCCAGGCTCGGGTATTCTGTTACTGCACAAAACTAAGAAATAYACTACAGAAAATGAATGTGTTTTAGTAATAAAACTGGTATGCAATGTTCCCAATAATTATAGTATTTTTGATTTGCATCAGCCCTAAAAGAGCATCATACACCATCTCATCCATGTGGAACAACAAAAAACAATTATTCTTAAACTTACCTCAAACTCACAGAACACAATAATCGACCTGTATGAGAAAGCATCAGTTTCAATTTGTTCCCCCCCACACAACTGTTCTTGRTAGCAATCAACTCAAAAGAAAAGAATTTCAACCAAATATATACCTAATTAATTACTCATTTGTRAGGACTTAATGGTATAGAAATTCTTACCAACAGTACAGCTGTCTTCAAGTACCACATCAACATTTCTGTCTCTGTACTCAACTCTGAAATCCAGCATACGAGGTTGCCTTTCTACAATCTGCCTAGATGGCATCACAGGTCGAAACGCTGAAGAAGAGGAGGGAGTAGTAGCTGGAGCTGGGTGACTTGCTGGATCAAATGCAGGGCCTGGTATGGTCTCACCTCCATAATCACTACAACGTTAACAGAAAAGAAGGATTATCATCAAATAGATCATTATARAATACTACTAAGGACCCTCTTCATCCTTGACTTCTATATTCTTCCTATTAAGTTTACACACCCATGAGTCAAGACCAAACTTAAGTTCCACTTCCTCCAATAAATGTTTTTCAGGGACCAAGGGCCACAATATCACACACTCATAATTTGAGTCGAGATTTGACTCATTAACTCTACTTTCCACAAAGACTATTTGGAAATTTTACAGCTTTATTCCTCACTTCTGCCCCCTCTAACTCGTGGTCTTCAAAGACTTTTTTTTTTTCCTAGTCCACAGAGAAAAGAGAAAACATCAAGAGGAATTCCCCTAAACATCAAATCCACAAACTAACCCAGATATGCACTCTCCCTCACTCTCTCTTCATATAAAATACAGGGGACATCATTGTTCCTATATGAAAAATCTAATACCATCTTCTATTAGCTTTACATTAAGGATTATACCTCCTTTCCTTTCCAGTATCTTTGGTAACTCCTGTGTTCTGGATTCTCTGCTCCCCCAACCCTGCCCCAATTCTGTGAATAACATTTAAACATATTTCAAATCTTTTGTCTTCTTAAGAAAAATGAAATCATAGATCTGTCTACTTAATAGCTGTTTCATTTGTAAAATGGGAAAAATAATTATATTTGGACAATGCTAGTACCCTAGTAAGATCTCAAACCACAAACTCAGTGTATCTAAACCTTCATTAATGTTTCCCCAAGTCTGATCCTCCTTGATTATTCTTAATATCAGCAGCCTAATCCAGAAACCTCTGGTGTTATCCTTGATGCCTTCTCTTCAACTCCCAAGTCTAATCAGTTCTTTCAATTTTACCTCCTAAATCTTTTAGATAAATAATCCACCTTTACTCTCTTAAACTGCTACCTTAATCCAAGTCACAATCATCTCTTGTACCAACTAACATAACAGCCTCCCAACTAATCTCTTACTACATTCTCTTGCTCCCCTGCAATCCATTCCATACCACCTGTTATGGTTTGGMTGTGAGGTAACCCCCAAAAGCTCAYATGAGAGTAAAAGTTYGGAGGAGAAATGATTGAGTTGTGAGATTCTAGCCAAATCAGTGATTTAATCCCCTGATAGGGAATAGCTGAGTGGAACTGAAGTGGTAGGGTGTGGCTGAAGAAGGTGGGCACTGTGGCATGGCTTTGGGAATATACTTATATCTGGCAAGTGGAATCTCTGCTTTTTGATTACTATGATGTGAACTGCTTCCCTCTGCCACACACTCCACCATGATGTTCAGCCTCATCTTTAGCCCCAAGAAATGGAGCTGRATTTGATAGAATAMGACCTGTGAAACTGTGAGCCCTCAAATAAACTTTTCCTCCACTACAGTTGTTTTGGTCAGATCCTKTAGTTACAGCAGTGAAAAGCTGACTAAAACACCATCCCTAAAGTGAAATTAARGAAAAAAATGTCTTTGTACATTTTATTTCTTAATCTTTCCATTAATCCTGACAGCTCTTCTAATAGAGTACCCCTTTAAAGCCCTGATTTGAATCCTACCTTTCCATTCTCATCCTGTAGCATATGTTAATAACCACCAACTGTCTTCATTAATCTTATCTTACCTTGGTCCTTAACATTTCACCAAAGAACATAAGCTATTCCTTCAAAGAAAAGTTTTTCTTCACCAAATCAATCTCACTTCTATTTTTCTTAGACTTAATTATATTTCATATTTCATATCTCTGACTGAATATATTTCAATTCATTTTGTTACCATAGACTAGGTCTAATTCTCTACCGCTATTATAATTAAAAATTTGCAGACAGCAGAATGCATTTTGATTCATTGTACACTATYGCAGTACAACTTTACATTTCTATGGTTGCACATGATAGGGTCACACTATATGTGCAGTCATACATGTACCTAAGGTAATGATGTCCATCTCATTCCACCATCTTTCCTGCCCCTATGAACCCTCCTTGCCCTCTCTCCCCTTTGCCCAAAGTTCCTCAATTTTTCCCATGCCTCCCCCTGCCCGTTATGGATCAGCATCCACTTATCAGAGAAAACATTTGGCCTTTGATTTTGGGGGATTGGCTTACTTTGCTTAGCATGGTATTCTCCAAATCCATCCATTTAYCTCCAAATGCCATAATTTTATTCTCTTTTAATACTGAGTAATATTCCATTGTGTATATATATATATCACATTTTCTTTATCTATTCATCTACTGAAGAGCATCTAGGTTGCTTCCACAGTTTAGCTATTGTGAATTGAGCTGCTATGAACATTGATGTGGCTGCATTACTGTAGTATGCTGATTTTAAATCCTTTGGGTATAAACCGAGGAGTGGGATAGCTGGGTCAAATGGTGGTGCCATTCCAAACTTTCTAAGGAATCTGCATCTGTTTTGATGCAGACTGCATCAATTTTCAGTCTAGCCAGCAATGTATAAGTGTGCCATTTCCCCCACATCCTCCCAATATTTATTATTGTCTGTATTCTTGATAACTGCCAATCTGACTGGCGTGAGATAAAATCTTAGTTTTGATTTGCATTTCTCTAATTACTAGATATGTTGAACACTTTTTCATATATTTGTTGATCAAATGTATATCTTCTTCTGAGAAGTGTCTTTCAGCTCATTAGCCCATTTATTGATTGGGTTGTTTATTTTTTTGATGTTAAGTTTTTGGTTCTTTATATATCCTGGAGATTAGTGCTCTATCTGATGTGTGTGTGGCAAAAATTTGCTTCCAAAATGAAGGCTCTGTCCACCTCATTGATTGTTTCTTTTTGCTTTTTAGTTTGAGTCCATCCCACTTATTCTTTTTTTTTTTTACTTGTCAATGCACCTTTATTTATTTATTAATTTATATGTGGTGCTGAGAATCAAACACAGTGCCTCACACATGCTAGGCAAGCACTCTACCACTAAGCCACAACCTCAGCCCCGCCATTTATTAATTCTTGATTTTATTTCTTGTGCTTTAGAAATCTTGTTAAGAAAGTTGGGGCCTAATCTGACATGATGAAGATTTGGGCCTACTTTTTCCTCTATTAGGCGCAGGGTCTCTGGACTAATTCCTTGACCCACTTTGAGTTGAGCTTTGTGCATCGCATTTGTTTTTTACATCTGTATCCTCTGCTCCGAGCTCAATATTTTTTACATGGCAATCAAATAATACGAGGCAATCAAATATTTGCCAAACTAATAAATGAGGAATAATCATTCAAAACACTGGATTTTTTTGACTTAATTTGTGATATGCATTGTCACCTTTTTGTTTCCTCACTAAAGGAAAAGTTTGGGAAGGGAGGGAACATAAAGTATGGTTTAGTTGCAGCATCATTTTGTATATGTCTTCCACCACCACCAGATCTCAAGACCAGCTCTAAAACATTTTTATTCTCCCCTGGAATTTAAGGAAAAAGAATAGACTGGGAACCTGCACAGAAACAACAACAACCAATACATACTCAATTGAAGCACTGCTCAAACAACCAAGCAAGAGAGAATATTTATGTCAATTTCCTTTCATCGTACTATTGCTCTGATGTTTATCAAACTATAGATTACACAGTTGATTCAGAGATTTGTGATCAGTCTTTTAAAACAGAATAGAATATTGGGATATGTCACTTAAGAGGATCAAGTGTTTCATAAGACTTTGTATTCTATCACATATTTGCATATGTGTGTCTGAGCTTCCAAGTGTTTCTCATTATAGGTTAAAGGAAAAAAAAAAAATCAAAAGGAAAGTTCAGATCTCACCACAGAGCACACTTCAGTAATCACTGATCCAAACACAAAAATCTACCCTCTCTCCCAGTTGTTAAATTCAAAGAAAGTAATCCTATAAATAAGACATGGGAACTGAGTAATGTCCAAAAGAGGAAAGCATGACATTGTTGAAATCCAATGTGAGTTCCTAAATATCTATGAACAGAAACTATGCAATGAAACTTCTTCATATCTCTAATATTTGCCACAACTTCTCAAACCCTAAGAAAAACAGCTTAGGACAGTAAGCAGGTAACTGACTTATTGTTTCTTGAGTCCAAAATATCCTTCTATATATCTTCTATTTGAGTCCATCTGAGATACAGGAGCTGAGAAACTGAAAAACTGTATTTTCCTTTGCTAGATGGTTTCCTACAACAGGGGTTATTAGTTAGGAAGAAGGAAGTCAAGACTTCTTACCTCTTGGTTGCATGCATTTCCATCAGCATCACCTAAAGTTTCCAGTCCTCTCCTTTTTTTAATTAATTTTTTTATTTATAATATGACAAAGTAATACATTACAATTCTTATTACATATATAGAGCACAATTTTTCATATCTCTGGTTGTATACAAAGTATATTCATACCAATTCATGTCTTCGTACATGTACTTTGGATAATAATGTCCATCACATTCCACCATCATTTCTAACCCCCTGCCCCCATCTTTCCCCTCCCACCCCCTCTGCCCTATCTAGAGTTCATCTATTCCTCCCATGCTCCCCTTYCCTACTCCACTATGAATCACCAGCTTCTTCTCCCCCATTCCAACCTCCTCCRTACTGGGGATTAAACCCATGGCCTCATGCATGCTATAGGAGTGCTATACCACTGAACCATATCAACAGCCCTATAACCAGCTTCTTGATATTCCTACAGATACCAGCAGCAGCTGGACAATGTGTGTTCATAGGTCTGACCCCTGTTCCATAGACCCCCTCTGAGCCTCATTTAAGAGTATTAACTTCTTCCATCAGTTACTATATCTAAGGTTCACCTTTTTGCTCTTTTATCTTTCACACCTGTATAACCAACACTACATTAATGTTTCTCTGTTCTAATACAWAGACTTTCATTTTCCTGACTAGATCCTAAGGGGTCCTGGGAAACATACTTTTAAAGATAAGATTGGAGAACTGGCTTTCTTATGTCCTTGACCTTCAATTCATTGCTAGTTCCTTGCCAAGAGAAAATGTGATAC